CATAGACTATTTATTTATTTTAATAAGCATAAACAAAAGTCGGTCGTGAAACCGAAGAATGGAACCATTTTACAAAGAGACAGGCTACCAAACTAACCCGTACATACAACGATTAGTTTTATTGGTGCGGCTTGCAAAAGACCGATGAAGAGAGATTGTTGTTAATACTGACCAAAGTAGTGTGAATGCATTTGTTCTTTAAAGTCCTTCATATTAGGAATAGTATTTTAGTTATTCCTTTTCACCGGTTACCAATCGATTCTCTTGCTTTATATTTTTAGCTTGCTTGCATACCACTACAGTTCGGAACTACTATATTTTTAGTGCGCCATTTCATCACTTCCTTTTGAAGAAACAATTTCAAGACCATCAATACTTAAAGTGCTTCTAAAAGTTACTTTGACAAGTTTCGATTGATTCACAGATCTCCACAAAACAACTGTGAAAATAATTAACTAATTATCAATGACTTTTCCCATATGGACACAAAAACAAATATACGTTAACAAAGTTTGTTAGATACAAACAGTAGTACGTCTACACACGACAGTAAATTTATTTACTAAACTAACAACTTAGTTTTATCAGTATAGGGTTGTGAAGATTGGTGAGTTTAGATTGACCATGTGCTCACTAGTGACTAGCTTTAAGATGGATCTCCTGGAATTCTAGTAAGACCAGTGGAGTTCAACCGTGTCTGTTGTGAGGCAGCTACCAACTGAAGACAATGGTGGACGTTGGCGCACTTTCGTGGATTGGTTGAAGTTAGACATTAACGCCGTTGGGTGCCGGCCCAGTGGTCTAGAGGTTAGGCGTTCGCGCGCGAGACTGAAGGTCCAGGGTTCCAGACCCGCGTGTAGAATCATGGGTGCGCATTGCTGAGTAGTCCCGTAGTGGGACAAGACGGCCGTTCAGTGCTTCCAGGTTTCCGATAGTAGTTTAACATTGATTGGTTCATGATATCAATTAAAAACTATATACATCAAGATTACGAGTCAGAAACATTGAGGAGATATACAAAGTTGACTGTAAAATCTGTAAAGTATATTGTTCACCAGTATCTTTAAAATCATAGGTTAACGTTTTGACATTCAAGAAACAAGTTAGGATAATTCGAAAAGTATCAAAACTGTTTATAAGCTGTTGAAAAATTACATTTAAAGAAAGTTAAATATTAAAAACGCAAAGCTGTGTACGATTTCCGTAAACTTGTAGTGTCTCACATACAAGCCTAAAAATAAGAGAAAGAGACTGAATTGCAAAAGAACACATTTTTATCATTGGATCCAAATTCCCCAATATAGCAAATTACCAATTAGATTGTCCATACACAAAATTCATCCCTTAAATTATCGAAAGCAGATTACAACAATTCGAAAGTCTTTCTTTCAAAGTGGTTATCAGGATGACAGGAAATAATCGATAAAAAACATCAACAACCTGAATCTAAAATTCTAATTTTGATGAATAGCCAAGATTTCAAACCATAGTACTTACTAATAGTCAGTAATTTATTTCAAATGACATCAATTAATAAAAAAGTAAAGTAATCACATGTATTAAATAGAAAACTACGGTAAACTATTATTGCATTTACAGATTTTTGCAGAACTCCAAACCAGAATAGTTTTATTCCTGTCAATTAATTTATAACTTTTATTTCATGAACTCACTCTTCTCGAACCATGCTACCTACGCTTAATCATTTGTACTTCCAGTGATACTAATTCTAATGCTTTGATATTTAACGCGATAAGTTCATCTCCCCGTGATATGATATGGCAACTTTGTCTGATACAAATATCTGCCAGGTCCTACGTTTCTTATAACTGACTGGCTGTTAATCAATATTCTTCATCCTGTTATTCATAGACTATCTACGCATAATATATATGTATTTCAATGAATTTAAAAACTGTTCCTTAAAAATCTTCAGCTATTAGAAACTAGTGGCTTAAACATTGAGCCTAGCAACCAATTTACAAGCTCTATCAGGAAATTAATAGAAATTATCAAGCGTCATAAAAGTATGCATTGAACTAGAGTCCAATCATTTTCGGGTGCTTCCTTTGTAAATAGTATGAACCATGAGTATTCGGGATGCGATCAAGATCATATTCATCATCCTGATTGCCATAGGACAAAAGAATGAAATAAATTAGGGTTCTTCGAGTGTGGTGATTAGAAAATAACTGACTGTCGGTGTACGGATGGCAATGTTAATCTAATAAAGTCAGAGACAACTAAAATCATGTTTAAATAAATAAATCATTAATTAAATGCAGGCTTTTTTTTAGATGTCAGAGGTCCTTAAGCTGCAAACGAGTAAGAGAATTGAAGTTATTTTCATTTATAATCTCACAATCGATAACCAAGTGGACACTATCTTTTCGATTAAAATTATTCGGAGAATTGGGGTGACAGTGAGTTTCGTTAAATACCAAAACATTTGCCCTTCAAATCTCCACTTAATAATAATGAATGTTATTATTGCCACTATTACTGTACTCACAAAATGATACTGACGTAATAAGAAAATCACCATTTTAAAAAAGTCAGGCGAGAAAATTGATATTAAACTCCAATTTTAGGAATCATAACATGAAAACGACATCATGTAACTACTATCATCATGAAACGTTACATGAGTGAATAATGAATACTAACAAATTTATTTATATATTCGGTAGTTTTTTAAATGGTCTTTCTACATTATGGATTTCTGGTTAATGTGATACAATAAATGTAAGTAACGTGCCATATATTGTTTATCTAGTACAAGAATTGAAAAGAATTAAAAGTAAAGTTGGAATTCACCAGATGACAGTATACTGAACTATCCAAAATATTATCAAAACAAATAATTTACAGAAAACAATGTTTGGAGCTCGACTAAACTGTTTCAGAGGTACGGAAGCCATTAAAAATACATGACAAAAACTTATTCAAGTTAGAGAACTTATTGTTTTATGATAACCTTACCAATTAAAAACTCTAACCAACTATGACAAAAGCCTCTGAAGTTCAAGGTAGAATACATGGGAATAGTACCAGTAGATATCACTGTCTTATCACTATGCAAAGATACCTTGTCTACACTGGTTTCATAAATAGCCATGACTATACAGATGTGTTAAACTGTAACGAAGGTTCAGAAAGAAGGATAAGTATAGATAAGGGTCATCGGACTTGAGAAGTGCAGAGTACACGCAATTAAGTTATCGTATCACTAAATTATTAGTCCATACATTATCGTAGTCACACGATAATGCCTTCATTCTTTAGGTAAATAAACTTTATTTGATTATTAGATCAAGTAACAGTAAACGAAGTTTATTAAACCACTGGTAATTCAAAGCAACAAGAACAGTGGATAAGATATAAGATAACTGCATTCATCACACAACTTCAATGCTTTCATTTTAGTTTCACAGGATATAACCATTGCTGAAAATATTGATATTAAATAAAATGTGATTTGCACTAAGCAACTTCAAGTTTCATTTACGAATCATATTTCTCTAGAAGTCATATTCGACAGTGTTAATATTGGATTTTAAGAACAATAACGCAAATTTTAGATAATTGCATAAAAATAACTAGATCACACTAACAAAGTGAATTTGGTTAAAAATTGGTAACCTAAGGATCCAACCGAAACAAAGAAAAGCTATGAAGACTATTTTAAATTTACAGTTGAGTAAAAAATTTTAAACTGATGCAATTACGTAAAACCATTGTATAGTAAATGTTTTGATGAACGTTAAGAAGACTAATAACCCTTTCTAGATAGATAACCGTATTTCCATTAGTATGAATTTTATTCAGCTTGTGATTCGTTACAATAATATGGACGATTATTAACAAAATGACGTAGTGGACGATCGAAAAATTCAATCTCTTTCGGAATTTCATTTTATATATTCCGTGAATTTAATGGTTTACAAACCCAGATTAAAAACAATATATCAAAGTTGTAATATTAATAAACACTTATCAAATAGTCTAGGAGTATAGTGATCCCGGAAGTTGATAGGGTTCATAGCTTACTAGATGTTTTGTTGTGGTGTGGTTATAAACATTTATATATTCATACTGACTAATTCATTCAACACACAAGAGCAATAAGTTTTGAACAAATTCACTTTTGTAAATAAATCAAACTTGATTTCATTAATACTATGTTATTTCCCCCCATCGATAAGTTCGATCAATGTAAACGAGAATTCCACAAACTATTAGTATTTACCCTGAAGAAGTCCAAACAAGTTTGCTGAACGAAACGTTAGAATTATTTAAATTTCAATCGCTGAGATTATTTGAAATATAATTTTCATATATTATTAGTACTTATGTTTTTAATACTTGTGAGAACACAAGTTTTGAATATGGATCGAGGGATCAAAAAATGTCTTGGGGAGGATAAAGAGTATTGTTAAGTAAACCCAAAAATAAACTTAAATAAAATATCCAAATTAATATTTAGTCTACCTTTAAGCAAAATAAAATTTACAAAATTTTATTAGCCAAAGAGATGTACTTGTACACACGAATGAATGAATGACAAAACTTGACAATTAAGTAGGACTTTTTGAATCAGAGATAGGAGTCAAAGACAATGTACTGGTGAACTAAAGTATAAAAGATCTATGACGACTAATGATACTGCTTTTTAATCAATTTATTAAACATTACTAGTGAACAGAAAGGTTAGGATATTTTCCTCATTCTTTTAATCAGCAGATCAAGAAACAGGCGAAGACACTAACTGAGAAGCCATAACCTACTGTGTTTAGCAATGTTCTACTCAGAAATAATATTTACCTCTCAGACATCGATTTGTTTAATGGTTGAATTTTTTATTTTGGTTTATATATATACATTTTTTGAGCCCCAATTAATTTTGCTTCAATTTGGAAAGGTGATCCCGTGTTTGAACCATATCCATAAAAACACAATTGATAACAATATAATATTTTTATTCTTAGGATCTACTTCCCATGGATGATCAAGAGCAACCGCATGCAGAAGTTGTATTCATGGGAGAAGCCCAAGTGGGGAAGACAGCTTTAGTCCAACGAATAATCAAAGGGTCAAGTTATTTTTTATGGAACGATAAATATGAACCTACAATTGAAGACTCGTTCGTCAGAGAATTTATAGTTGGGGGAAAGTTATGCAGATTGAGACTTATTGACACTGCAGGAAGTTACGCGTTCCCAGCAATGAATAGACTGTGGCAACGAAGAGCTTCTGCATTTGTATTAGTGTGTGCAAGAGATAACCCATCAAGTTTAGACAGGATAAAGACGATTTTGCAAGAAATTCAGGATGAAAGACAAGAAAATTACAGAAAATTAATAACAGTGATAGTTGTCAATAAGAGTGACATTAGAGAAAGTGAATGGCTGGTAAAAGATGAGGATGTTGAACAACTAGCAGAAAACTTACAGATACCTTTTAGTTCAGTCGTCACTGCATCAGCTCGTGACAATTACGGTATGATTGAAATTTTAAAAGTACTATGGGAACAAAATCAGGAAGCTGGAGAGAACAGAATTTTATTTGATTTGCTGCCTTTTAAATCTGGTAAGGCTGATGAAAGAAGAAGAGCAAGTGCATTTGCAGTACTTTTTGGGAATTCGTCATCTAAGGGCGCGACAGTTCTTCACATAGGACACAATCAACGTCCTAGGCATTCTGATGCACAAGAAAGCAATAACATGGCACTGGACACAAATACTAAGTTTCAAAATGTAAATTCATTCGGAATAGCATTTATGAGAAAACTAGGGCGACTAAGTCTTGGTGGACATCGCAGTAATAAACGAGACAAAACAAGCCGTGAACCTTCTGTTATTAAACCAGACTGTAATGTATCTTAAAAAACTATACATGACTGTAATATAAAATCTTTAATTTAAGTATATAAATGATTTTTGAAAACTTAACCATTGGAAACAGTTGGTTTAGAATGTGGAGCTTGGGCAATGAATCACAACCTAAACAAAAATATGTGGTCAAACTATGGTTAAGTGCAAAAACACTAGAAACACAAACATATGATGGTTAAATTTTTGGGTTACAAATATTACCACCGATATAAACACCAAAATGTTGTTTGGTTTCACTTGCATCAGAAAAAACAATAATAGAAGGAAGTGGATTGAGTTATGGAATAATACATTTAGCAAACCTTAGTCTAAAATACGAGTCAGTCAATTAATATTAGCTTGCTTGAGTGCAGTAGAACGTGGATTTTGTTGATAAATCATAATTTCTGCAAACATACAGGTTGTGGACTTTTATGGAAGAACAGATTCAGTGGACATTTATTTAAATATATTATATCATGTTGTAGAAGTAGTAGTAGTGTAATGAACAAAGACTTGGTGGATATAACTAACTTATTGTTTACTGCAAAATTACAGTTCCTTAGTAAAATATGAAAACCAAAAGTAAATACTTTATTTGCAAATCTTCCACCAATTGTCCTTTAAAGACCTCATGATTCTTCCGTTTCTCAATTCCTTTATATCTCCCTTTCTGTTTCATCCCGTTCAACCCTCTCGACCTTTTGGCAGGCATTCCACTTCTAATTGATGTCACATACTACTTATATCTGTCAACATAAGTAGTACTGGTAATCAAGCAACGTAAGTATAGTGATTTCAAGAACAATTACAAATGTTCATACTCACGATAGCTAACACTGTCGAGTAATAAAGTCAGTTGCACTAGTTATTTCGCAAACCGGTGATATGTAGCACCGATCAGCATGATTAAAAGTAAAACAGCTGGCTAATTGCTGGAACTTTCTGAAAAAGCACGATTACACGGATTATGGCTGTACTCTTTATTCAGCTCTGTTAGTCTTAGTGCTTCAAAACATGCGAACTTTACAGGCAGGGTTCTGAATCACGACATCGACATTAAAGACTTCAATAGTGGCTATACCATGGATCAAACGCGATGGAGGTTATCGGAAATATAGGTGTCATTACCAAGGTTTGATTTGATAATTTCGAATAAATTGAGCATTGGGTTCATTGTTATAAATAAAAATAATATATTTGTAATATCCCAATGAGTAGAAAATTGGATTTTCTGACGTTTCGTGACTTAGTGTAAGTCACTTCTTCAGAGAACAAATAACCAAATTAAAATTCATCCAAGTTTAAATAGTACTATTTAAACTTGGATGAATTTTAATTTGGTTATTTGTTCTCTGAAGAAGTGACTTACACTAAGTCACGAAACGTCAGAAAATCCAATTTTCTACTCATTGGGATATTACAAATATATTATTGTTATCGGAAATACTTATTTGCCAACACCATGGAATAAGCTGTTGGTCTTAGATGCTCAAAGATTCGAGTTGATAATGTGATTGAGAGACTTTAGAAATATGCGTAAATTTTAGCTATTGTTCTAACAGGCAGTTAAACTTGTATTCACTATGACATTCCGTCAGTTACAAAACATGTATCTCACGCTTAACAGATAAGAGATTGGGAGCTAGATCTAAAGGTTGAACGAAATTAGTGAAATCTTACTGATAAAAGTACTAGATTTTATAAAATAGCACTTAATATGACTAGGAAAGATAAACTTACTGCGGAAAACACCTCAATATATATAGTCTGCATGAAACCTTAGAAAGAATAGAACGAAGTAACACTAGTCAGTTACAATCAACATAGATACGTAAAAAGTACTAGATAAATAAGCAGGAATTAGTGAGGGGAATATGGGTCTCAAAAACGGGGCAGATTTTCGGTGGACGAAACCAGGAATTCAAAATACAGATTAAAAAAAACCTCTACGGTAATTTTAATTAGTTCAATGTTTTTATCTAATAAACAGTGAAATATTTTAATGTACATCGAAAATGGAGTACGTATTTGCTTTGATAATACTGTACTACGTGAGGAAACGACACTATTTTCTAGCATATAATATGAAGAGGATTGGATTTAGAAAAAATCTATAAAAATTCCTAAAATACAGGTCTTAAATAGGACCCATTCATATTAGATTATGCCAACTTTTGAGTCTTCTGGCACTGTATACCTACCTTAAGTCAGCTTATAATTAATCCAGTGAATTTAAACAATAGTTTCGGAATACCTCTGTTTAAAAATATTGAAACATAAAACCATAATTTTGTTCCATTCAGTTACCTATCAATTACACTTCTAAATCCATGTATTTTCAACTATGGAGCTCTCCTACTAAAATAAATTATCACATTTTCCTGCATTCTATATGTGGATATTTCTAAAATCTCTTGAAATCTTTCATGACTTATAATGAGCAATATAAAATAAAATGATTTTATTAGTAATCAACATTTTTAAGATTGAGATTTAACACATCACTTGCAACTTCAGAACTGAAATGTTACTTATATGAGTTTAAGTTATCTTTGATCAGTACAGTCAGCAAATTAGTTAAGTAATCCATCTATTTTGCCTATATACTTATGTTAATTCTGAACATTCTTAATTTCTTAAAAAATCAAAGTGCTAAAAGTTGGTTATCAACTTCCTTTCATTTGCGATGTTTCCTGCCACACAACAAACTCTAGTGCCCTCGCAAGGTGAGTGAACAAATAATCACACGTGCCTCGAAGTTCCACAAACTAAGGGCATCGACAAAACAAAGTAAATAAAACTAATAATATCAAGGATATTAAGGAACTGAAATAACAAGGCGAAGCAGGCCAGCTAAGACTGAAGACGAAACAATCTTCAAGACTTTGAGGGAAATATTGTGAAGCAAGATTGATTTTAGGTTATGAAACTTACTGAGTACAATTATTAAATGTAGTTACCCCCTCATGAATATTGACCGTAAATAGTTCACCTACATACACAACTTAGTCAAAACCAGTGAATTTATGGACTAATGAGATTTCTTGGCCTAGAAAGCCTTAGTCTTCCTCTCATCTACCTATATATCACTTGTAGTACGCCAAGAGTTAGTGAATGAACGAAAAGATTGGTGATAAGCGAACGAATCTATTCACTAATCGTCAATATAAGTCTTGGGTTTAATAATATTATATATTTACCACTTTTCATTTTCATTTATCCCTTTGGAAGTATATCCTCTGTATTTATATTTAACTTAATTACTTACACCTGTTACCCATCATGTAGAAGCATAGGCCGCACACCAGCATTCTCCGTCCAACTCTGTCCAGCTCAATCCTTTCTAGTTGCTATTCGTCCCAACCGTGTTTGCTTCCAATTCTCGGCGCAATGTGTCCATTGGCTTTCCTCTTTTCCGTTTCCTTTCAGGATTCCAAGTCGGCACTTGACTAGTAATGCAGTTTGATGACTTTTATCCATTTCCAGCGTCTTTTCCTAATTTCCTCCTCAGTTTGAAGCTGCTTTATTTTCTCCCATAGTAGGCTGTTGCTGATGGTATCCGATCAACGGACATTCAGTATCTTACGTAGATAATTGTTTATAAATACTTGTACCTTTTTGATGATGATTGTGGTAGTTCAGCAAGTTTCAGCTTCGTACAATATAATTAACTGTCTTGACGTTTGCATTGAAGATTCTGACCGATATTGATTAAGAATTGTTTTGAGTTCCATATGTTGTTCAACTGCGGGAATGCAGTCCTTGATTCGCGAATCTTCGCCTGCACGTCAGCATCAGATCCTCCTTGTTCATCGATGGTGCTACCCAGATACGTTAATTTTTCCACTTCTCAGGGAGTTATTCCATCAAGCGTGACTGCATTGGTGTTCTCCGTTTTGTGTATAAGGATCGCAACTATTACCTTGTATATTTTGAGGCCCACTAATGCAGAGGTTGTTGCCACACTGTTTGCCTTGACATGCATTTGATGACGTGTATGAAATAGAAGAGCAAGGTCGACTATGAAGCCCAAATCGTCTAGTTGACTCAGAGCTGTTCATTGTAATTCATGCTTACCCTGAACTGTGGGGTTTTCATAACCCAGTCAACCACCAGAAGAGAGAGAAAGGGGAAGAGTAAGCAGCCATTTCCGACTCTGGTCCTCACTTGGAATACGTCTGTCAGCTGTCCTCCATACAAGACTTTGCAGTGTAGTCCATCGTATGAATTCCGGATGATGTTGATGATTTTCTCAAGTACTCCGTAGTGTGGAAGAAGTTTCTACAAAATCATCCTATCCAAACTGTCGAAGGCTTTCTCATAGTAAAGAAGTTTGATGTACAGTGACGAGTTTCATTCGATTGATTGTTCAACGATGATCTGTGGTGTTACGATTTGATCTGTGCACAACCGGTCCTTACGGAATCCAGCCCGTTGATCTCGAAATTAGGCGTCTACTTGATCTTTGATCCGGTTCAGCAACACTGTTGAAAACCTTTCCTGGTAGTGACAATAGTGTGATGCCTCTGTAGTTCTCACATTTGCTCAGACATCCTTTCTGTGGCACCTTGATGAGGCATCCGTCTTTCCAGTTTGACGGTGGCACTTGTTCTTCCTCCTAATCTTCCTGAATCGAACGTGAAGCATACTTGCAGTTACTTCTATGCCCGACTCTAACGTTCTTCTTCACTCGTTTTTATGCTTTTGCGTATTTGGTTTGTGCAGTGGCTTTCTCTGCTACTGTTGGGCTGTTGTTAATTACTGTCTTCTTGTTCTCCCTTTCTTGAATCTTGTTCAGGGTTTCTATCGAGATCCATTCCTTATGATGATGCTTCTTGCGGACCACGACCTCCTGACACGCTGAGGTCAGGGCTTCTTTGGTCCCTTTCCAGTTGTCCTACACAGTAGTTTCTTCTTCAGTGGCACATGTAAGGCTTGGAACCTGTTGTTAAGAGTTACCTTGAATTCGTTCATTTTGTCAGTATCTCGAAGAAAGGCTGTACTGAACG